GGCGGAGGCTGGAGGGCACGGCGCCGACCCCAGCAGCCCGCGTAGACTCAGCAAGTTCAGGGTGCTGCCCACGTCGGCCACGGCATGCGCCGACCCTGCACGGGAGCGGGGCTCGTCGCTGATCCACGCTCTTCCTCCCTCCTGCTCCTGCTCCTGCTCCTGCTCCACCTCCTGCTCCTCCTGCTCCTCCTCCTCCTCCTCCTGCTTCTCCTCCTCCTCCCTCACCTCCTCGTCTTCCCTCCTCCTCCCTCCTCCTCCTCCTCCTCCTCCTCCTCCTCCTCCTCCTCCTTCTCCTCCCCTTCTCCTCTCGGACTGCGGACGCTGTGACCTTACCAGGGTCTTCACGTGTCCCGTCCGTCCCGCTGGCTGCGTGGCCAGACGGGTCTCCACAGGCGCTGGCATGAGGGAGCTGGGCCCCGAGGTCCTTGTGTCGCTGCGTTCGGCCGATCGGGGGTCGTTGCTCCTCGACATCTGGCGCCCTTCTTCCCCACTCTCTGCCTTCTTGCCCACCTCTCTTTCTGGCCGCTCGTCGAATCGAGGAACAGGAGCTGCATGAACGTAAGATTTCGGAGATCCGCAAAAGGAGTTCCTGGATCGGCGCTGGGCCCCGCCTCATCCCAGGCGGTGCTTCCAGCGCCGCTCCGCGCTCCACAGGAGGTTGGTCCGGCGCCGATCTATGAGTTACGCGAGAACCTCGGAAGGCGTATGTCTGCGCAGTCTTTGGTTGCTCTTTCGAGCCGAGCCCCCCCCCCCAAAGGCTTTCCACTTCTCTCCCCTGGAACCTCCCTGCCCCTATGGTGCAGTAAGTCCTGTCCTCCCTGCAGTGCTGTGGGAGTGCGGCGCCCTGCAGAGCCATCGGGTCCTTACAGCCTTGCTCGCTGGAAAGTCTGGCTGCAACTGCCTCGGTGCGGTGCTTCCCCGCCCCTGGGTCAACACCACACTCTGGGGAGGCGATCCGCGGAGGCAGAGTCGCGCGCTCCTGAGAGTGCCGGAAGCTTCGGCTCGTGCTGTCGGCGTGCTTTTGTTCACGGCAGTTTCAGTTGGCGCATTTCTCGTGTTTCACGTCGTTCTGCATACTTCGCTTCGCCCCTTGGACGCAGACTGCAAGAAGCATCCGATGGTGCTTTGTTGAGACCCGCTGGTTGGGGTGACCCAGGTGGCCGTTGACGCCAAATCGCAAACTGTTCCACGTCCACCTTGGAGCACATTGCACACAGCTCCGACGTTTTGCGTTCGCGTGGTGCCCTACACCTCCCATCTAGGCTCTAGTCTAAGCGAGCCTCGCTCCATCTTTGCACGGGGCCAGACAAGTATCGTGGTTCCGTCGCGGCGTATGGCCCTTAGGCCGAGATCGGGTGTTGTCAATCGGAGGGTTCGCCAGGTCATACGTCCCGGGCGCCTCCAGTTCCTTCGGGCCGTGATCAGAGTTGCCCGCTCTCTGGAGAAGCCCGCGGACTCGACCCACCCGACGGTCAGCGGCACGGCCCCCGACGCATCGCATTCGGACGGGATGCGGGCGGGCGATTTGGCTCGGCATCGGTCTGACCTGTCCGCAGCCTTGGCCCTGGTGGGCCACGGTAGCTCAGCCCCACCGGCCCACCCTCCCAGCAGGGACAGGCCACGCGAAACCCGAAGGAACGGGCACAGATCCCCACCTGGATGGGAAGGTCGGCCAGTGGGGCCAAGGCCACACCAGCGGGCATAGGGAGCCAACAAACGACCCAGACGTCCGATGATTTGACAATTTTTCGATACGGGACCCCGGAAGTCCCGACCTTTCCCCCAAGGCCCGTGTTTCATCCCGAGCCATTTTTTTCACAGCCCCTTGGCCCAGCGAGGGCCCTCAAAGGCCAAAGATTGCTTGAAATGTCCGTCCCCATTCTGCCACGGCGAGGGGGTCTGGGCCAGACGGAATGCAGGGGTGGCGATCTGGCAGGATCGCATGCTCTGTCAAGCAGCCAGCCACCTGGGCATCCCGGGGACTGGATGTTTCAGCGCGCTGCCCCCAGACGCCCGGACCCTTCCCCCGAGGGCGAAGTGTTTCGCTCCTGGAGCCGAAGGTGATTGCCCCGGAGCCCGAGAGCGAACCCCCGAGGCCGAAATCGAGGAAGCACGCCCAGATCGGAGAAGCACTCCGTCGGAGGCCCGGGTGCTCTCACAGACTAGGCCTCCCCCGTGGGGTCGGAGTAGGCGGGCTCGGGGGATCGCGCCGCATCGCCGATGCTTCGGCGATGCGGCTCGATGTGTAGCCCGATGTTCTAGGATGCACCGCGGATGTCGCCGATGCGTCGGCGATGCAGTGGCGACACGGTGCGATCCTCCGACCTCATCTGCTCGGACCCCGTATGCGGCTGTCCATCTTTGTTCGCGTCACAAGGGCTCTGTACTGGAGCGGTGGCCATGACCAACACGGGGTCATACCAGCCCTGTTGGGCTCCCGATGGCTCCCTCGAGGGCTCCCGAGACGGGTTACACAACATGCCCGCCAACACGGACGTGTGACCGCTGCAAGTTTAGGGGAACGAAGAATGACATAAACATGAAAACTCGGAGGTCCGAGTCTTTCTGTGTACGTCATTCTTCTTCCCCCGAAAATTGGCAACACTACAGTCAAGACGCTGAAATAAGGAACAGTTTGGGTCCGGAAGGGGCTGGACGTTCTTCAGGTCCTTCCATGGCTGTTCTTCCGGCCCTCCTCGTGAGCGAAGGCGGTTTGGGGACCTAAGAGGGGCTTCGTTCCTCATTTGGCGTTCCTTCTTTCAGCGGCCCGACTGTACCAAACGGACGCGGCCACATAGCAGGCCTCTGGCCAACGGCGACGCCGACGGCGACGGCGACTGCGGCGACGGCGACGGCGGCGGCGGCGACGGCGACGGCGACGACGGCAACGGCGACGGCCACGGCCACGGCCACGGCCACGGCCACGGCCACGGCGAGCACGGCGACGACGACGGCGGCGGTGACGGCGGGGCAGCCCGCCAGAGAGAGGCGCGCCGGGCGCCAGGTCGTCGCGGCGAACGCCCGGGTCCTGCTCGACGGCGCGGGCGGCGAGCTCACGCTGGGCCTCTTCCTGGGGGTGGCCTGAGCCTCCCTGCGCGGGCCGCGCGTGCGCGGCGGCCCCAGCGGGGCTCGCGCCAGGGGGGGGGGGGGCGAGCTAGGGGCCTCCCGGATGGGGTCGGAGCAGCGGGTCGGGCAGTGGCGGGGGCGTCCATGGCGTGCCTGCAGGCCTGCCGGGCCATGCTCTGCGGGCCTTTTCTGTGGCTTCCACGACCTGCTCTCGGAGCACTTCTGGCCGGGAGGGTCCTGTTTTGACGCATCGGGTATAGGTTCTGCGAACATTGCTTTTGTTCTAAGAACATTGTCTGGGTTCTAGGTACATGTCGTGGCAGGCCTGTAGGAATGGCCGGGACGGTCGGTCCCTGCTCAAGATGGGGTCGGAGGGTCGCGCCGCATCGCCGATGCATCGGCGATGTATCGTTGATGCGGCTCGATGGGTGGCCCAATTTTCTCCACGCCGACGCCGCCGATGCATCGCCGACGTCGCCAGTACATCGCCGATGCATCGGCGACGCATCGCCGATGAATCGGCGATGCGGCGAGATCATCCGACCCCATTTGCTCAGACCCATGCTAGGAGGCCTCGAAACAAGTCACGACGAAAAGTTTTGGCCTCCACCTCCGACAGGTCCTCCTCCCACCTTCCCTACAGAGCGCCGCGAGGCAGCCGTGCAGTGGGAAGAGCGGATGGACAAGGAGAGCAAAAGTGGGGCGCAGATTGCGTTCGTCGACGGCGAGCGAGGGGGGGGAAGCGAGAAGGAGACGACTTTCTCAGAAGGCGGCGCAGCTTCTCAGAAGGCCTCGGGCCTTCTCAGAGGCTTATTGTGTCTTCGGCGAAGGCTTAGACAACTTCTCAGACGGCTAGGGGACTTTTGAGCCTTCCGCTTCTTCAGCTGACTGGAGGCGTTCTTGGACCATCTTCGCGGCACTTGAGTGCCCTCTTGGCCCTTGTTGAGGCCCTCCTGAGGCCGACAAAGTCACGCGAGAAGACTCTGGGAGCTTCAGGAACCACGCGGGGAAGCCTGGAAGATTTGAGGATTTGGGGTCCAGGCCCTGGAAAGAATCATCAGGATTGAGGACTGGGACACCAGGGGGCCGAGCGAGGGACCTGAGATCATTTCAATTCGTGCCTCAAGGCGCAGTGGCGGAGATGCATCTGTTTGTACGACACATACATTCTTTATGTAAGTGTTCATAGTTATACATGTATATAGAAACATGTCTGTAGCATATGTGCTCGACTACTTGATCTCCCAATGTTGTTTTCCACTATCTGTTATGTCTTATCCATTCTGTATTTCCTGAGAGAGATTGGGAACTTGGCCGCCCACCGAAATCGGCCCGGAATCCGGACCCTGGAGCCCGGGAACCACACCCAGCCGCTTACCGAATTCGGGGCCCTACATTTGCCTACTCTTGAAACCTCCATTGGGGCTCCTTCAGTGCAAGCTCTGCTTGGGGAATCGAGGCAGCGGATGTCTGGGGATAAACCCTTCCCGAGCTCACCACCCACCAAACCACCCCAACCCAACCCCGAGGCCTCCATTTGCCCTCCATTTCCAGAAGGGGGGGGGGTCGGGGAACATTGACAAAAGCACATGGGACCCGTACCCACCCCAACCCGAAGTTCGGGCCATCTTCGGGTCTTCGGGTCTTCGGGTTGGGGTGGTCTGGTAGGTAGCCGCGAGCGATTTAGAACTCGTTGCGGAACGATCTGGAGCGGCCCTGGCGCCCGATGCATCTTCCACAACCGCCGGATCTCAAACGTCCCCGAGTTGTCCCAGTCCTGGCTTTGCGGCGGGCGTGGAGGAATATTCAAAACAAGTACAAAAAATAGTCTGGGTCCATTGTTCTACGATCTTCGACTACTTCCGACTACTTGCGTCACTATGCTTCATTTGTCCTCGAGGATCCCCCCTCTAGGAGGGCACGCCCGACCTAATCCTGGCTTCGCCTCACATGCCCGCGTGGCGACAAACGCGCCCCCAACCAAAACCTCTGCGGTGGAGAGGCCGCCCCCCCGAGCGAGCCGCACGAGCCAGAGAGTCGCTCGGCCAGGCGCGCCCCGTGCAGCGGCGAAGAAGCCTTCGCGGCGGCCTCGGCTCAAGCCATGATGGCATCCGGCGCCGGCTCCGTCCGGAGGGATGTTTCTGCCCCGCCGGCGCCGAGAGGCGCGTGAGGAGCGATGGCGCGCCAGTCGGGTATAGCCAGGGCCCCGGGTAAGGGGACCCGGTTAGTGGTGGGGCTCCAGAGCCCCTAAATCGGCCAGAATCACCAAACCAGGTCTGCCGAAAGTGGTGCTTTTTCGGGTAACGGCAGTTCCAGTTCGTGGAACGGGGCGGGGGGGGGGGCGTTCCCCAGCGCACATCACTCAACCAGGTCCCACTAAACCCAGTTCTGCCAACGCCTGAGCCATGACCAGATACCTCGAGTACAGCGAGCCGTTCATCACGGACAAGGCCTTCTATGATCCGCCGCCGCCGCTCTTCCCGAATGCGTGCTTCGGGCCTCCGGTGAGGTTTCAGAAGTACCTCACGGAGGACTTCGGCGGCGGGAGCTCCGTATGTTTCGGGGGTCGTTGCGCTGCTGGCCAAGTGTGGCCCAACACGATTAACACGGTCTTGTTCACGCTGCTCCCATGCATCTTCTACTTCGAGAAAGTATTGCCCAGGGCGAAGCACTGCGAGATTATCTACGTCACCCAATGCGCTCTATCCGTGGCAATCGTTGTCTCCTTTGTCCTCGCGGCCTTCCTGAACCCAGGAATCGTTCCCAGAAGAAGGCAGATCCCGGACGACATTACCACCAGCGAGAACACAGGCATGCCTAATCACCGGTTCTTGCGGATAAATGGATACACGGTGAAGCAGAAATTCTGTTCGACGTGCAGGATTTTTAGACCACCTCGAGCGAAGCATTGTTCTCTGTGTGACAACTGTGTCTTGCGCTTCGACCACCATTGCACGTGGCTGGGAAACTGCATCGGACTGCACAACTACCGCGGCTTCGTTTGCCTTATCTACAGCGCCACTGTGTTTTTGATTGAGTGTCTTTACGTTGTGTTCACCATTTGCTGCGAGATGAAACTGCAGAGGAGCCCCGATATGCTTCAGGCGTTCTGGGAGGAGCCCGGGTTGTGCTGCTTTGCGGCATACTGTTGGTTCATGTTCGTCGCTGTGATGGCCTTGTCTGTATACCATACAAAACTCTCTTTACAGAATCGGACAACAAATGAGGACCTCAACAACTATGAGTACAACCCCTACGACTTCGGGAGCGCCAGAAATTGTTGGCAGATATGCGTGCACCCCGAGCGAGTGCTCGCTGAGGGCAACGACCGGGTCGAGGCCAGCGACAAACCCTTTGGCAGCCACGTGTCCCACGACGAGTAGGCGTGGCGTCGGCGCCGGCACGCGAGCCGAGCGACGCCGAGAGCCGAGCGGCGCCAGGGCACCCTGTGCTGCAGACGGAGGTGGCGACAGGCTGCCTTCTGGCCTGGACGCCCACGGCTGGAGACGGTGGAGAGGACAGGGACGAGCAGTCCAGCCAAGAGCCACGGCGGCTCCGGGCCGGAGTCGGAGACATGGGGAGCCACCAAGAAACAGTCGGCAAGGGGTGGGAAGGGGGGGGGGGGGGCGGCAAGGGGAAGTGAAGAAGAGAGGCCCTGCAAGGGGCCCTCGGGGGCCCCTCTTGGGCCCCTGCTGGTTGCAAAAGGGGCCCTGCAGGGCCCCGTTCTAGGGTTAAGCGGTTCAGTCGAGCATGTCCCTTTACAGGAGGAATATTCAAAAGTAGTTTAAAACAAAGTACGTAGCACACCGCAATTGCGGATAAGAGTGAGGGGGCGGGCGCGGGCGACGCGGGCGTCGAGCCGGCGGACCTCGTGGCCCTCACCTTCCTTGTCGATGGCGCCATCCTCCTCCTCCTCCACCTCCTCCTCCTCTTCCTCCTTTTCTTCCTCCATCTCCTAACAGGACGCGCAGAGTGCCACCCCGAACGAATGCAAGATCAGCCCGCCGCAGGCGCCGAAAATTTTGATTTGTACACTGAACGCGGTTTGGGTCGCAGGTTCTCCACTTGGAACGAATGCAAAACAAACCCGCCGCAGGCGCCGAAGTTTTGGTTTGTTCAGTGAACGTAGTTTGTGTCGAGGGTGGGTGGCGGGCTCTCCACCTCCACCTGGAGGAAATTCAAAAACAGCCCGCCGCAGGCGCCGAAAATTTTGATTTGTACACTGAACGCGGTTTGGGTCGCGGGTGGGTCGCAGGTTCTCCACCTGGAACGACTGCAAAACAAACCCGCCGCAGACGCCCAAAATTTTGGGTGGGTCGTGGGGTGGTTCGCGGGTGGGTCGCGGGTGGGTCGCGGTGGGTCGCGGGTCGCGGTGGGTCGCGGTTAGGTCGCGGCGCGGTTTGGGTCGCGGGTGGGTCGCAGGTTCTCCACCTGGAACGAATGCAAAAGAAGCCCGCCGCAGGCGCCGAAAATTTTGGGTGGGTCGCGGGTGGGTCGCGGGTGGGTCGCGGGGGGTCGCGGGTGGGTCGCGGGTGGTCGCGGGTGGTCGCGGGGTGGGTCGCGGGTGGGTCGCGGGTGGGTCGCCGGTGGGTCGCGGGTGGGTCGCCGGGGGGGTCGCGGGGGTCGTCGCGGGGTGGGTCGCGGGTGGGTCGCGCGGTGGTGGGGGGTCGGGGGGGTCGCGGGCGGGTCGCCGGGGTGGGTCGCGGGTGGGTCGCGGGGTGGGTCGCGGGTGGGTCGAAGGTGGGTCGAAGGTGGTCGCGGGGTGGGTCGCGGGGTGGGTCGCGGGGTGGGTCGCGGGTGGGTCGCGGGTGGGTCGCGGGGTGGGTCGCGGGTGGGTCGCCGGGGGGGTCGCGAGGTGGGTTGCGGGTGGGTTGCGGGTGGGTCGCGGGGTGGGTCGCGGGTGGGTCGCAGGTGGGTCGCAGGTGGGTCGCGGGGTGGGTCGCGGGTGCGTCGCGGGATGGGTCGCGGGGTGGTTTTCGGGTGGGTCGCGGGGTGGGTCGCGGGTGGGACGACAAGAACAGACAACAAACAACAAACAACAAACAACAAAAACAACAACAACAACAACAACAACAATCATTTTACCCGAACGCTCAGTGTTCTCACCAGTGCCAGGGTTTTCATGCGACGCGAGACAATACCCCCACTTCGTGGGGGGGCAGTTCAAGCTCTACCAAATATCCAAACGACTCTTCGCGACCACCCAAACCCAGCTTCCCGCCCTATGACGTTGGGACACTTCACTTCGTGGCGTGCGGACGACCGTGGCTACTACACTGGCGTGGGGTACACACCCACAGAACTTGGTCACTTATTCGGGGCGCGCGTGTGCCCAGCATCCTGCAATTGTGACATACAATACATGACACAGACAGACAGAGAGAGAGACAGAGAGCAGACAGAGAGAGAGACAGAGAGAGCGGAGTTGGTCACATTTTTGGGGCAAGTTCCTGAGATCGTCGTGTTTTTTGTTGGTCTTGCGCGCGCGAATGTCCACTTTACTTTTTTTTGCAAGGGAGTATTGAAATTTGATTATGTTAGAACAAGAAAAAGTAGCTCGCGCGAGCTCATGTAACATAAATGTTGAAAAACCATTGGTTTTGTGGGAGTCGGACAGCGCGCGCGGGATGAAATTTGGACATTTTTTTTGAAAAACCATTGGGTTTTTGATGTTTTTATGTTGAAATCGCTACGAAACCTAAGGTTCTGGAAGGATTTCGTCTTGCGCGCGCGAATGTCCACTTTACCTTATTTTTTGCAAGGGATTATTGAAATTTGATTATGTTAGAACAAGAAAAAGTAGCTCGCGCGAGCTCATGTAACATAAATGTTGAAAAACCATTGGTTTTGTGGGATTCGGACAGCGCGCGCGGAAGGACATTTTGACAATTTTTTCTTAAAAAACCATTGGGTTTTTGATGTTTTTATGTTAAAATCGTTACGAAACCTAAGGTTTTGGAAGGATTTCGTCTTGCGCGCACGAATGTCCACTTTACCTTATTTTTTGCAAGGGATTCTTGAAATTTGATCAACTAAGAACAAGAATTTTCATTTTATAGTGTTTTTTGCAAGGGAAAACGGCGTCAACAAAAAACCGGATCCGGTACTAATCCACTTTTCTGAAGCTTTCGCAGAAAAATGATGAAAATGTAGCTGCGGCCTAGGTTTTGGCGGGGGGTCGCGCACCAGGGGTCCCAACAATAATAATTCTTTAGAAGTAATAATGTTCAACAACAACAACAACAACAACAACAACAACAACAACAACAACAACAACAACAACAACAAACAATTACTAGCACGTGGGGACACTCCGTTCTCACCAGTGCCAGGGTTTTCATAGGAGGCGGGCAATACCCCCACTTTGTGGGGGGGTCGGTTCAAGCTCCACCAAATTTCCAAACGACTCTTCGCCACCACCCACACCCAGCTTCCCGCCCAATGACGTTCGGACACTCACTTCGTGGCATGCGGACGACCGTGGCTACTATTCAGGGCCCCGCGGCCGACGACGACGGCGTGCGCGCGCGAAGAAAAAACGAATGTGTCCCGCATGGTATTATTTGACAGGGATGATGGCCCTGGCAGGTGCGCAACCGTTGTTGCAGAAGTTCGAAAAAGTTGCTCGCAAAAGCCCGTTTGACAGAAATGTTTAAAAAGTGTTGGGTTTCCTACGAATCCGCAAGAGCGCGCGGGATGAAATTTTGACAATTTTTTTTTGAAAAAAAACCATTGGTTTTTTTATGTTTTTATGTTAAAATCGCTACGAAAACTAAGGTTTTGGAAGGATTTCGTCTTGCGCGCGCGAATGTCCACTTTACCTTATTTTTTGCAAGGGATTCTTGAAGTTTGGTTATGTTATGTCCACTTTAGCTTACAAGAAATGTCCACTTTAGCTTATTTTTTGCAAGGGAAAACCGATCGTAACAACACAACCGGACCAACCCGTTTTGCCTGAGACTTCCTCACGAAAATGATGAAAATGTGGCTGCGGCCTAGGCGCGGCGGGGGGGTCGTGCACCAGGGGCCCCAACAATAATTATTCTTTAGAAGTAATAATGTTCAACGAGAATCCGCATCGCGGAATTCCACTTCAGCCACGCGCCCAGGGACAGTGAATGACCGTTCGGTTCAGCCCCCTCACTCTGGCTCAGGGGACGATTTTTTGAATTGTTCGTTTGGATCAGTTTTGAATATGTTTTGAATAGTTGTTATTGTTCGTCCCAAATCCGCCTCTAGGAGGACAGGCCCGACCTAATTCTAGGGCACTTTTATGTCCCCCCCACATAGATCCCCCCCAACGACCACACCCGCCCGATGGAAGCAACATTAAAGGGCCAGAGCACACGACCGAGCCACCACGGAGCCGAGTGCGGCGATGGGAGGAGGCAGGGCAAGCGCTGCGCCACTGCGGCGGAAGGCATATCTCATGGCGCCAGCATCGCAGCGCGGAGTTCTTTCGGAAAACAATAGGATGGGCCCGGGCTGTCCTGGAGAATTGAGTTGTGGATTTCGAAGTGACTTCCGTGCAGATTCTTGCTTGGGCCAGGAATGAAGATTGCAACAAAGCCACGCAACATTCACGCCGTTTTTCGCTCGCCGTTTCGGGGCTTTGCATGGGCGGGAATGCGCGCCGAAATCCGCTGCAGCACGTCTGCAAGGTCGGCGCAGCGACATAGGCAGTTTTTTTAGTGTGTTGGTTTGTTGGTTGGTTGGTTGGTTGGTTTGTTGTTGTTTTTTTTGTTGTTGGGCGTCGCCCCCCTCGCAGCACGGCCCACGACCCACCCCGCGACCCACCCCGCGACCCGCCCGCGACCTGCCCGCGGACCCCCCGCGACCGACCCCCGCGACCCAACCGAGACAGGCCCACCCCGCGACCCACCCGCGACCTGGCCCGCGACCCACCCCGCGACCCACCGACGTTGCTCGAACGAAACATCGGCGCCTGCGGGCTCGTTGTATATAACGTGCCGGAATGAGGCGCCTGCGGCCAGACTGCAGACGTCCCCGCCGCCCCCTCACTCGTGTCCGCGACTGCGGAGTGCTACTCAGGAGGGGGAAACACACACAGACACAACTAACTATCGACTCCCAAGAACATGTAGGAAACTATGGGAAGTGCTGCAGGGCCCAGGATGGCCCTGGCCAGGCATGGTGGTGCTGCATATGTGCTCCCTGCGGAGATCGACCATTCATCGCCGATCGGCGGCTTCAGCCTGGAAGCCACAGATCGTTGTCATCGCCGATTCTAGGTCCATGTCCCCCCCCCTCCGCAGGCCAGTACCCCCCTTCCGCGTCCCCTTTCACGGAATTGGTTTTGTTCTGGGCGCATGCAGCTCCGTAAATGGGAACGGCGGTGTTTTTGTTTGTCGTGCAGGTGGCCAGGCGGTTTTTCGGTCAGGAAAGACGGCCCCTGGCTTTGGGGGACCCCCGCCGCCAGCAGGACGGATTGAGGAAGTTGGTGTTTGGTATTGTTTGGCATGGTTTGGCATCGCAGGCGAGGACCCGCAGTGCATAATTATTAGAGAGGCCTCTCGGCCAGTTCCGCCAACCCCCGAACGGGGATCAGGAGGCCCCGAGACGCCGCCGACTCATT